TCTTCTTCTTCTTCTTCTTCTTCTTCTTCTTCTCAATGTTGGCAATGTTCAACTTCATGCTAGTTAAATCAGTACCAAAGCAAACCGGTTCCTATGACCATGGTAATTTAGTGACTTGATTGTTATGGCACTGCGGTGAATGCGTGAGAGAGGTGTGAACATGGACGTGAACTGTAAATGAAGACTCGTTCACGGAGGCTTCGTTAACCGCGAGTATTTATGATGGGGTGGAATATATGAATATATCCGACAGCAGCTGGTCAATTATTCCGCATCAATTTTGGATATTTATTAACACGAGCAAATTGCTGGGGATATCGTTGACGCCAGAATCTTTGTATGTTGCTAACCTCTTCAAAATTTAACTATCCTTTGGAAAAATAATCGACGAGTAGGTGTTTCCTATTGATAACTTCTTGCCTGGTCATTTTATTTATCGAAGAAAGGAGTTGAGTAAAACCCGCCTAATTGTATATTCACCAAGTTCAAGAAATTGCTGAGGATACCGTTGACTCCAGAACTAGTGTGTATGGTGCTAAACAGTTTGAATTTTAGTCGTCCTATGAACTCGGACTAGATTTCAGCAAGCGGATGTTTGTTATCGACATATTGTTGTTAGACCAGCTCATGCAGATGGAAAAGAGGCTGAGGAAAAGCTGTCTGTGATAAGAGAACTTGATTACAGTTCATTTTTAAACACAAGCGGGTAGTTAGCGGGAGTCAGTGCTAGAGGGGAGAGGGTGAAAGAGCGCGGAGAGTGAAATGCAGTTGGCTTACCTTTGGGCACGGTAAGCATGGAGCCTCTACCAATATATGCTGTGGCAGGCGGTCCTGTTGCTCCTAGCAGACCCAGGCCCAGTAGCTTGGGATTGCCCGATTGGACCTTCTAAGGCACAAGAAGAGCTTCGCTGAGGATCCACACGATGTTTGCAATCAACATAACCTACGAGAATGGCACTTCTTATGCCCTTTCCTTCGCCTCTCCCCAGTCATATAGGAACATGTTTTCGTAAGCACAAGGATAAGTGCCTACTAACGCAAACACTGATTGCAAGTTCCTGGATCAGACGCCCTATCTCAGTCGGAATAGAAGTGCCTGTGTTAAGACATCCAGTACACTCTTCTGGAAGGCTTCGCGCACTCACCCAGTAAGCAACGGGACCAATGGGATGATTATTGCAAAAAAATCTGTACGTTTCGTGCAAACATAAAAAGCCACAAAAATTCCACATCAAAAGCATATCCAACGCCATCTTGTTAACAAACTCCGGTGTCCTTAATCATAGGTAATAGAAGAACGGTCTGAGACATGCGCAGATAGGGTGATACATGCACAGAATACACAGTATTTATAGTTCGTAGCGGTCACCCGCATGTGCATCTGAAG